AACATTATGGTTAAGAGTATCTGCCACAAGACAATTGTATTTGTATGAATAATTTGAGAACGGCGAATCTTAGGGAAAAAAATCAAGTTACCTTTTTTATGAATTTTATGCATTAGAATATATAATTTTTATAAAAAAGGGAATGCCCCCTGTCCAATTGTACGCCACTGGTTGCACCTTGAACCTTTAGTGCTAATATTAGAATGCAAGGTCTACTATCGTACATTATCTTTACCAAATTTTATTGAGATCAGTTAATAAATTCTGGAGATATAAACAAAAAATCATATCTCTAAAATGAAGGCGTTCCAGACCTATGTTTATAAGGCAAATACCTATTATTTTAAAGAGATCTATCTGCCCTCGAAGTTTCCTGCATAAAATTCGGACCACCCTGTATACTCACACCATCTAATAGCATTTTGGTAAAATCTTTTTTCTCAGAAGTAAACGCTTATTATCCTACTGAAAATAATTTTTAGTATTTTTAGTCGTGACATTTGCTTTTAGCATTTTTTTTATTTTCAACTTGTAATTAACAGTTGAAAATCACTTCAGAAATTCTCGGCCTTAAAATAAGGAAAACGTACAGTTAAAAAAGTGTTCACTCAAACTCTTTACTTCAAAATTAACAATCTAAAGTTATTTTTTATACAAACATCACTGATATAGGTACAAACAATTTATCATGCTAAATAAAATTAATTTTAACTTTATTCATTAAAAAATGTATATCAAGGCTGAGAATTTCAGGAAATTGATTTTCAACTGTTTCTTGAAAATAGATGAAATGCCAAATAGAAGTTTTACAGTCAATATTTTTGTCCAACTTTAGCAGGTACTACCGCGCCCTGGAAACCTCTCATTCAAATGTTTGGTGACTCCGCTGGTGGCTCTCTTGCGAGTTCCGGTTTTGGTCGGCACCATTCCCACTGCTCGGCTCTGTCGTCTTTACCATTTCCAAACCTCTGGAAGATATGACATCCTTCTGGATTAGCCGCTATAGATTTGTAGTTATTGTGTTTTTCGAATTTCGTTGGATTCGAATTCTTTATATCTCCGAAATTCGAACCCAGAACGGCCTCGTCCATTTATTTCGAGTCGTTGGGAATACTGGTTACTGCAACAGGGCGAGTTTGGCTGTTTAGAGCGGTTTTCTGGTGCAACGGCGGCAACTTTGGAAAGTGAAGTGAAAATTGCCCTGCGCTACGTCGCATCGTTCTTTCGTTAACATTAACGATAGTGATTGACCCGGTTTGTGGCTGCTCGGAGCGGTTTTGGGCGCGACGACGGGATTTTGGAAAATGAGTTGAAAATTTCCTTTACGTGCCCAGTATGGAGTCATTTCTTAGATTAGTAAGGGCGGCGCTGATATAAGTAGGTAGGGTATGAATAAACGATAGTCCGAGACCCATTCCTACAGAGCTGTAGGAATAATTACAATTACATCAATAGTGTCGTTGTCTCCCGGACAATAAGCGCAACTTTATTACTAGACCTTCCACTCTAGTGCATGCGCGCTGTTGTATAACTGTGACTCCTTAAACTTTAATTTGTGACATGAAACGGGATCCGAATTTGTATGTGCGGCGCGACTCATAAGAGTCTTCACTCCTGGTTTAAACTACACTCCATCCATAGTGCCCTGCATCGCTGCGCTGGTCTTTGGGTCTTCTGACATGTTTTGTGGCTGCTTGGAGCGGTTTTGAGCGCGAATGTGGAATTATGGAAAGATAGATGAAATTTCCAATTCCCGCCGCGCTCTACATTGNCCACATGGTCGCCATTCTTCACCCTTTTTTGGCACGAGGTGTAAAGGTGACGCCTACGCACTGCTCGAAGGACGGGCGATACCTAATTTTAGCATATCGTCGAATTCCTTTTTCGCTGCCCGCAATTTGTCTGGCGCTAATCTACGCGGCTTCTCAGCGACGGGAGGACCAGGTGTTGTTTCGATGTAGTGCCTGGTTTGGTGTTGTACAGCCGCAGAAGGTGCTGCAGGACGCGTAATGTCCGAATACTGCTTGAGCAGGCGATGAAACACGGATTCCCCGGAAATCGTTTTGACTGAGGGTGTCGCAGAATGCGCGAGTTGGCCTGGTGACGTAATTTGCGTTGTTTCGTCAAGCAGTCTTTTGTTGCGCATGTCTACCAGTAGTCCATAAAAAGATAAAAAGTCTGCACCAATTATCGGTTTTGAGACGTCTGCGACGACAAATTGCCAAGTAAAACAACGACGTAACCGGAGATTTAATGTCATTGTCACTGTGCCGTACGTAGCAATTGAGGTACCATTTGCCGCGGAAAGTTCATACGTTGATTTCGATCGCGACGATTTCACTAGCGCACGCGGATATACACAAAGATTAGCACCCGTATCGACGAAAACTGGACCTTGGAGTTCGTATCCGTAACGTACAAACGGCGCGGAATGGGGCACAGGTCGCTGTTCGCCATCACCGACTGCTCGCCATCACCGACTGCCCGCCTCGTTTCCCGAACGATACGTGCACGGATCGCGGCACACGCGAGCGCGGTCACCAAAACGTTGGTGATACCAGCACTGACCACTGTCACTGTCACGGCTTCATGATCGGTCTTGCGAACGCGATCTGGGTGTTCTCGTCGTCGGTCGNTATAGGTCTTTGGGGACATCGTCCTGGATTTTGCATGTGGCGGATTATTTCTACTTCGCGGTCCAGATTGGAAAATGTGATGAAATTTCAAAATACACTCGGGACTGGTAATGCAACATTATGTCATTGCTACTTTATCTCTACTAGCGTAGCTGTGGTAATAGTATAATATACTATATTAGATCTATGCATTTATTCCATATAATAGTTTTTAACCAAAAGAGATCCAAATAAATGCATGGGTACAAGACGTCAACTTGGATTTTGTATCTAAGTGCTGAGAAAATTTTCTGTGTAATACATGTTGGTCTGTTTCTCACAAAATTATATTGATATAAGGACTAATGACTCTCTGGACGTGCGAAAAAAGTAATTTGTGAAGAGCGATTTCGAACACCTCAGAAAATTTTCTGATAAATCGTAATATGCCTATAATGACTGGTATGAAATTGTGAACATCGGATTTCTCATCTTTTTTAAAAACTGGAGACTCGAGATATCTTTCAAATGTCAGAGAAAAGACCGGCACTTGAGAATAAATTAAAAATAGCACAACACAAGTATCTGGCGCATACGCAGTGTATTAACAAAAACTGGAATACCGTCAGGATTTCTTAGGCTTATCATTTAAGAGCAGAAATTACCTCAGAATGAGATAAACTGGGGACGTGCGACGTATCTATATGAATAAGTGTTTTCAGGAAATTGATAACAGTATTAGTTGGTTCACTGAATGATTGACTAACATTGACTGAAAAGTATTACCGTTGTGTCGTCTATTAAAATAGAAGATAGTGAATTGCTGTCTTTATAAGGATTAAGATTAATTAAAATCAAAATGATTTGATACCAGATTTAATATTTTTTCATCCACATTGATGTAAGCAGCATGAGCTATATCAGTGCCCCTTTTTAACGACTGCGAATTTCTGAAAAATTAAGACATGATTCTGGCACCGCTAAGTTGTTTTATATAATTTCTATATTAATAATAATTTAAACAAAAAAACCTATTAGTTGCGTCTTTGCAATTTGACCATACAATTTTGATGATTTAAATAATTTTAAGATTATATAAATGTTGAAGAACAGTCGATTAACTTCACTTTAAAAACTGAAAATTACTAAGTAGGTACTTTTTTTAGACATTTTAATTAAAAGGCATAATGACGAATATGAAACAAGTGTACATGAGAAGCCAACAAATATTATTAGATATTTAAATAAATAATAAAATAAATTCAAATCATCTCATTAACATAGAGAAAAATGTAGTAAAATGTTTATATGATAGAGCAAAATTAATTTTTTCTAAAGATCAAATTTCAANAATAAACGCTCTCTCAACGGTACTAATAAAGAATTTTATTGAAAACTGGTGTACAGAAAACTTGTGTATGAAAAGACGTGTTAACAGGGTGAATGTTCGTTGGAGAGTGCCTGTGGTTGAAGTCGGTGGAACGGTACTAATAAAGAATTTTATTGAAAACTGGTGTACAGAAAACTTGTGTATGAAAAGACGTGTTAACAGGGTGAATATTCGTTGGAGAGTGCCTGTGCTTGGTAGTCGGTGGCAGAAGTCCCTGGTCTTGGCGCCACTCTACAGGGGTCGGCTTCCGGGAACCCCGTGGTGCGTCCGGCGGCGTTCTTGACGTTGTGCTTTCAAATATGGGTCACTTGCAAACATGTGTACCCACAATTTGTTCGAAGTGGAAATATTTCGTTGATATATTTTAGATTTTAATTATTTAATAATTTTAGATGAAAATAGAGTGTTGAAAAAACAAAAGAATGCGGGGAGGAATCTATGGATTTAATGTTTTATTTGCATAAATGAAAGAGGAATTAAATATCTACTTATCTGTTAGAAATTGACGAAAATTACTATCGTGTCATATCATATTGAATTTTGCTGAACAATATTCATATCGTTTAAATTGGATAATTTTTAGTCACATTGATTACCGTAATGCCTCTAAAATAACTTAAAATTAATAAGGGTTGTACTCGTATAACCTTACAAGAAATTTTAATTAGCTTTAAGGTACCAAGTGACTAATAACAAACCAAATTTGAATGCAGAGCGAGATGCCGTCAGATTTTCAAATTAACTTCATTTGTGTTTTATTAAATTTTTAGATTACATAGGTATTATATTTTAATTTTCCTTTATCATATCATATCTACGAGGTGTTTTTTTTTAATGTGGAGCCTCATACATTTACCTTATGGATGCACGTATCGTTAAAATCCCACATCTTATCTTATCAATTACACTCGGTTATTACTAATCATAATCTAAAAATCCATAGATATATTTTCATCGATGATAATTACAGAAAATTTTAATTGTTCTAGTGATAGTAAATGTGATGTCAAAAATAGTTCGTGCTAATAAGTGAGGGCCTTTATTTATATATACCATGGCCCAAAAACCTAGATTGATAGTGGTGAGTACTCTATTTGAAATAATTTATCCCAAATACATATTTAGTAAATGGAAAACATGTAAAATATTGAATAATATTCCATTAGGTACTTAACATTAATTTGGGCGTTTATGTGTAATTAGGATAAACAAACATAAGAACAATATTGCGATAGTGTAAGAGAATAACTGGTTGATATGATGCCTCGATGTTTGCAAATTATTACCTATATTTAAATATAAATGATAATCAGTGAAGTATCGTTGGGCTTTATCTTTGTAGCAGAAAAAATTGTACAAACTTTACAAACACTTGAGGAAAAGTCAAAGTCAATAAAAATTACATATACACCCAACGTGTATTTATCATATTTTTAATGTAAAAAGAAAGTGGAGACAATTTCTTATTTTGACGCAATCATGAGTTGTACTCAAATATAAATATTTTTAAATTTTTTTGGATTTTAATATTGGGAATTGAAAAATTATTTCGTTTTTCATTTTGAAATTTTAATCATCTCATAGATCATTGTAGTTGACAATTTAAATTGTATATTTTTTAACGTAGACAAAAAGAATAAGGAAAAATAATGTAATTTGTAGTAGTTTGTAACAATTATTGTTTATATTTTGATATATAGTTATATTAAAAATTGATATTCTCTTTCCAATCAAAATCATTTCACAGACATTTTCTATTGAAGAAGGTAGGTAGGAAGGTAGGTACTATGAATAAATCTTTAACATTGGACGAGATGCATTTTGAATTGATCTCGACTTTTTCCGATTATTTTAGGAAATTAAATAAATGAACTATTATTTGTAAATTCCGAGGCTTATTGGATTACGATAAATACACATTTTTAAAGCATGAGTTACAGAAATAATTTGAAGATAACTAACCTTTTGTCATATTTTGTGAGGTTAAGGAAATATAAACATTGGCCTATTTCATGATGATTAATTGATTAATGATCACTGATATATAAAATCCAAATTAAAGGTAGAATAGGTATTTGGTATTATTGTATTTAGTGGAATTAATTTTTGTTTGAACTTTTATTTATCCACTACATATTTTGACGTTAACCACATTTTTTCAGACATAAAATAGTAAAATAGATATACTCATTTAGTGGTACTAACATTAAAGCAACTATAATTAAAACTGTATGAATGTTTCAAATTTTAATTGGAACGCTTCGTTTTCGAGATATAAGGTGTTGAAAATTAAAAAATATATCACATTTTTTTTAAATAGACGTCTGAAGACATTTACTGATTTATATAATCAATAATAAATATTCGCCGAGTTAACTTACAAATACATCAACCAGTAGCGGAGATACTGGGAGTCGATATCTCTCGGAACCTTAAAAATTCGACGCCACTGAATATTTTAGAAATTCGATCACTGCACTTCTGATGGCGTTTCTAAGAAAAAATATTTCTTCATTTTACTCAAAGAATGTGCCATCGTAGAGTTATGTTCATTTTTATTACAACTGTAATGAGATTAAATATTTAAAAAAATCATAACCCTAAAACGAATAAACATATGTTTCTTTAGTAGTCCTGAGACTTCCCGAATCTTTGCTGATTGATGTATTTGTAAGCTAACTCAACGAATATTTACTATTATAAAAATCATAATCCCAAATTTTATTAGTGTACGTCGCACGTCTTCGGAGAAATTTAAATATTTTTTTAATTTTCAGCCAGCACTCTGTATCTCGAAAACGACGCACATTTCAATGAAAGTTTTTGCTTAAAATCATGTTTTCTATCATGTGGTAAAGTTTCCTAATTAAAATCTTAAACACAAATACCCTGTATACAGGGCATCCATTTTTGGATTTATTAAACAAAAAATATTTATTGTTAGGAAAAGTTTATTGCAATATTCTGAGAATAATAATAGACACCTACCTGTATATTATCGTGCAATCAAAAACCTAAACATTTATCGCAATACTTAATAATTTTATTATTATCACTTTCTGAGAAATTCGATAATTTCAAAATTTAAAATATTTATTTACAAGATATTGCTAAATTCGACGAAGCATTTTTTTAATAATTAGTCTCGACAATTTTTTAAATTTTAAAGTCCATCCTTCCATGGAAACAAACACAGGATTCACTTCTCGGCCTATGAACTTGTAATAGAAAGCAGTGCCGGTTCGTGAATCTAAAAATAGGGAGGCCAGTTTTAAACACTAAGGGGTCGATTTAGTATGTATAATTTTACCGTGTAACAGAGCTTCAGATGAGGACACAAATCATCGAAGAAACTAACATAATTGAATATTATTATATATCAATGTATTTCCAATGGTTCCCGCTAGTGAGTGAGATAAATTTCAATGCTCATGAGAACAGACGAATAATTTAAATAAATGCCAAAGTACCTCAATTTTAACCATACTGTTAGTCTGTCAATATTTCATCAATCATTTACGACGGAACTAGGTCAGGCACAATAACCAAACTACTTCACTCACTAGAACGGACACCTAGGATAATTTGTATTTAATTTTCATTAATATTAATAATTCTATAATTTGTGTCCTCAAGTAAAATGACAACATTTTACACACGACTCCATTTTTATTATGTATGTAAAANACTGAAAATTACTAAGTAGGTACTTTTTTTAGACATTTTAATTAAAAGGCATAATGACGAATATGAAACAAGTGTACATGAGAAGTCAACAAATATTATTAGATATTTAAATAAATAATAAAATAAATTCAAATCATCTCATTAACATAGAGAAAAATGTAGTAAAATGTTTATATGATAGAGCAAAATTAATTCTTTCTAAAGATCAAATTTCAAAAATGAAATAGGATTCGTAAAAATATATTATTAGACGATCACTATCCAAAAACCTTTGTTGAAAAAATAATTGGTAACAGGTTTAATTGTTTAATATTAGAACAGTTTCCCAAACCATGTTATCAAAACCTCGACCGTAAAATGAGATGCAAAATTTGAAAGACTGTATTTACAGTATACCTGTAAATATTATGTTATGCTAAACTTCGAGACCTTTAAATATTAAAGTCGAAGAACATCGAGAATATATTGGAAAGAAAGAACTTGAAAATTTGAAAATTTGCTAACATGCGTGGCAAAATGATCATATTACTCAATGGCATAACCAGTGGCGAAACTAACGTACAGCGAAAGGGAGCAGTGGGCGGTGCCCTGCCTTCAAGGGGGCCCCGAAGCCTCCTCAAAACTCCACTCTGACTAATTTGAACTGAAGAAATTGCTTTTATTTTCGACAACAAAAACAAACAAAACTTTGCATTGAGTGTGGAGAAACTGAGGTTATGAATTTGAATTTCAATATCACAATCAATTATTCATCTATCAACGGTGCGAATAAAGGATGTAGTAGTGATTAGCGTTATCTTACTAATGCTTGTGGTTATATAAGATTTTAATTATTTTCAGGAAAGCTGTAAACCCAATTTAATTGATTATTATTATTTTACCTAGGTACCTTTAGTTAATTTTCCTAGGTTGAGAAACATAAAATTTTTTTGAAAGCGATTGTCACCGTATAATTAATATTTTGTTCAAAAATAACAAACATGAAGAACAATATCAGCAATTAAAATACATCAGAATTGCGAAAATGAATAAGATGAACCTATTGCATTAGAAACATATGCATTTTTCCTAGCATTCAAGGAAGTACATGATCATTCGATCAGGTGTTAATTGTACAGTTTACCATATTTTCATACACATTTTGCAGTTGTTCTGTTATATTGTTAATTTCTCTAATAATTATAATTCTTCGATGTCGTGCATTGCTATTTTAAAAATAGTATTCAGATGACTAATAGTATTCAGACCAATAGGAGTAGACCAATAGTAGATCAATAGTACTCAGACCAACAATATTCAGACCAATAATATTCAGATAACATGAAACAAAAAATAATCTAAAGAGCGTTAGATCCGGTGAACTGGTTGGCCACAACTCTTGACTAATAGTCTTCTACTAAAAATTTAATTGTAGCTGTTGTAGAATGTGCCCTATTTATTCTACCTTATTTATCTACTTATAACTCATCTTCATGTAATTGTGCTAAAAGTTGCTCCAAAATAAGTGTTTATAGTTTCATAGAATATAGGCCATTTCATAACTTAAATAGTAAGTAATTCCTGGACAGTTACCTTGTATAGGTATAATTGGATTATTTTTTTTTAGCTTTATGGCATTTTCTCAATGAAACTCCTAAAAATGAATATTTTGGGATATAGTAGAATAATCAATCTTGATTTCAAATAAAAATTTCAAATACATTTTAGAGATTAAACTGAATTTGAGAATATTTGCATGAAATTAACAAAAAAATATCTGTTTGAGCAAACAACTCTGATACAGACTCTGTATGACTTTCTAAAGTTATGATATAATCTTAAAAATTTTATTCCAATTATAGAGGCGAACCCTATATACAGGATATAAATAAAATGCTTAGCTAAACTTTAATGGCAGATTTTTTATCAGAAATTAACAAAAAAAAAATTATATTAGCATATGCCCGGAAACGTTATGTATCCCAAATACATTATGCTGAAATTGGAAAAAGAATATATTTTTTTAAAATTACAGACGACGGCTGAAGCGATTCCATTAAAATTTGCATTGCTCGTTTGTTTATTCCAGAAGTGAACGTACTTAGTAATTTTCTCTAATTTGTTTTTTCTTTCAAGCTATTTTAAATATGACACCCTATTAGGATAGAAAATCAAATGTTTTGCAAAAATATATTCTTGTTGTAGGTATGTTGCCATCTTCGAGATCCTACATATATACCGTAGGTCAAAAACAAAGGACTTTCAGACTTTGTGCTCATTGAGATTTTTTTTCCACGCGTTCAGAACTATTACAGCAAAGTTCTAAAAAAATTAGCTGAAAGATATTTTCCCTAAAGATTCTGCGGGGTCCTTTCTTATTATTATGCCTTAAAAATGGAAATTTGAAAATTTTGA